GGGCTGGAGACCATTTCTTCTAGTTTGCAAACACTTATGCCATGATAAATCTGAAAGTGCATAAGTTGCCATAAGACTCATTATTACTCATGAAACATTATGTAGATTCTCTAGGGTGATATCAGTAAAAGGTTAAAACCCTGAGCAGCAAAATCCTCCCCCTCCTCCTCTTGTAACTCCCTTTACTTCAAGACTAGTCATGAAATAAGATAGGGATGCTTTGTTTTGGTAACATATGAAAAAGCAAAGGCATATTAAGCACTTCTTTTAATATTAGCACACATACGCCCAAAAAGGGGAAGAAATGGAAGAAAATGCACATTACATCAATTCAGATGAGTAAATACCTGATGGTTTTTTCCATAGTTCAGGATCTGTCTGTACAGCTAACACCAAGAGAGAAAGAGTAAAGTGCTTCCCATAAGACAAAAGTAACACTATTATGCATGGAATTGTACCATCTCTAACAGCAACAGCAATCAAGCTTTTATACCAAACAGTTTCTCTGCAGTATAATGGAACAAAACACAAAAGGCACTGAATCGAATAAATGAATCTCATAAGTGAACGGGGATTCCAGCAAATCAGATAGATGCATATGTCAGTTACTTTCTTCCCTAGACAGAATAATACCAGTGCTTTCCATTGTGATTCTTGATTTTTTATTGTCAAAATCCCTACAATTAAGCCACATTTTTAAATTTAATCCTTCCTTTGCTGGGTGAAAAGCCAATGTTTTACAGTACAATACAAACAGAGGTTTTAATCAGCTGCAAGCCGTGAGAGAAATGTATGCATTTTTATCCTTGTTAACAGGTGGGGAAAGAATAGGTGTAAAAACATTCCAGCCATTTTTCCCCTTAGCCCCTAAGCCACATAGAAACAAGAATGCTCTGTTCAATTAGCAATACTTTGAGGCATCATTAGAAGATTTGAAGGGGCAGGAGGCCACCAAGAAGCCTGCCAGAGCCCAGCTATATGTCTAGGAACGTCTCTGTTCTTCTCTCTCCAAGCGGTTGACCCAGGAGCAGGAAGAATATACAAACCGTGTCTATGGAGAGGCTGTTCAGCTGAGGAGGGCGCAGGTAGGTAGCATAAGGATTAAATGCCTAGAAGCCTCTTGGAGAAGTAGCAAACACAAGTAGAAAAATCAGTAAGTATATTTATTTATGGAACATCATGTTAGGAGAAGTAGTCGGTTGACTCTCTGGGCAGTTAATACCAGTTAAAATCAAGCAAAGTCTAAAAAATACGCACAAACACAATTTAAAAGAACAGAAACAACTCAGCAGTGCTAACAGTGGAGCAGCACAAGCCAGGGGCGTGTGGAGAAGAGTGGTCAGGGAATTTGTGAAAGCAGGGTAGGAGCTTGGGCAGAGGATAGAGGACAGGGGAGGGCAGGACAGGAGGAGTGGAAAGGAAGGGAGGCCAGAGACACCGAGGAGGAAGCAAAGAGGTGGAGCTAGCAGCCTCAGAGGCTTATAAAGCCACACTCATCTGTTGGTGGTGCCAGTAGATGATGCGCGAAGGGCTACGTGACAAGGGCATCGTCCTGTGTTTGTGTTCCTCAGTGCGGCCTGGGTTGTCTGGGGTCTCTCTTCCCCAGGGACTTGGTCTTCACCATGGGAGCATGATTCTCAGCCTCAAGTGAGGGTAGCATGGTGCAGGCAAGACAAGGCAGTAGAAACAAGGCTCTGTGAGGGGTGGCCTATGCCAGGCCAGGAGATGGCCATGGTGGGGTGGCAGGTGTGATGGCTGTCTGCAGCTCCAGTGCAATGTTTGTCTTCCTCCCCCAGGAGGAGGCAGGATACCCTTGCACTAAGTGCAAGCTGGTGTTCAAGCTGGTATCCCCACCCTCCCTGAGGAAAAGGTGAAGGGTCTGGAGGACGTCATAACCTCCCTCCAGGAGATACAGTAAGAGAGGGAGAACAGTTCCTGGATATTGCCCAGGAGGTCCAACCAGTAGAAGCCCCCTTCCAGACAGAATGAAGAGGAAGGGGTCACCAGGGGATCAGCTGAGGAGGCATGGAGGCATGTCACCTTCAGGAAGCAGAGGCCAGCACCATGTCCTCCATCTCCAGGCACTGATTTGAAGCTGAGAAATAGGGTTTCTTCATTTCAGCAAACTGGGGCTGCAGGTTCCCTGGGGGACCAGCCAGCTCAAGAAGCCTGGCCAAAGGTCAGATGAAGGCAGGGCTCTGCTATTGGAGGTACGACCCCCAATCTCCAGCAGCTGGGCAAGGGGAGGGCAGGTCATTGTTGTTGGGGACTCCTTAATAAGGGTACCAAGGTTAAGAAGGCAAATGTCACCCTTGAGGGCATAGCCGGAAGCATGGCTTCCAGATCTAGGGAGGTGTTGATACCACTCTACGTGACTCTGGTAGACCCACAACTGGACTACTGCATCCATTTCTGGGTTGCACATTATAGGAGAGACATAGCTAGGTTAGAATTGGTACAGTGCAAGATCACAAGAATGGTAGCCAGGTTGGGAGGCATGACATATGAGGAGAGATTGAGGGAACTGACGCTTTTCAGCCTGGAGAAGAGGAGATTCTGAGGGGATCTTTTAGCAACTTATAGGTATCTGAGGGGATGCCATGTGGAGGAGGGCCATGACCTGTTTTTCCCTGCAGTGGAGGGCAGGATGCATTCCAGTGGAGCGATGCTCAAGGAACCAGGGTTTGGGTTGGCTGTCAAGAAGTATTTCCTGATGGTTAAGACCTCTAGGATATGGAATGGGCTTCCAAGGGAGCAGTTTGAGGCCCCATCACTGAGGGTGTTCAGGGACAGATCGGAGAAACACATGCTGGGGATTACATGAACTGAGCCGGCTGGAGTCAGGGGTCAGATGCTCCCCCTGGCTCACTTTTTCCTATGTTTCTATATCTGTAGTGAATAATGAATGACTAATTGGCAAAGCCAGTATGGTGTGGCAGCTACAGTGTGGATTGGGGTCCTGGTTCTATTCCTCCCTTAGCCATGATGCTCTCTGGGTGAAACTCGGTCAGCCTGCAGCTGCATTTGCTAAGCACCTGGATGATATGGAAGGGTCAGCAAAGGTGAATCCCCTGGGCAAGAAGTGCAGACTTCCTGACCTGAATTTTAAACAATGAACATGTGAAGTTGCTCACAGTCCAATATAATGATTTAAATTTTTGTCTCATAAACGGAGCATAGTCAGAGGGACCCCATTCATTGTAACATTCTCTAGAGATGGCCATTGTCTGTTAGGATCCTCTTAGACAAAAGAGATCAAATGCTGCAATTGGCAGGACTCACAATAAAGTAAGGGATTAGGGATACCCCATCCTCCCAAAATTGTCAATTTATATAACAAATTGTCTTCACTTCTGGTTTATCATCATCCATGAACATTTCTCTGCCGTAACAATAGCTGTGCCCTTGGTCCTGTAACTGGCAAAGTTCTATACAAAACAATAAATGAGGGGAAGGTGTATTTTTTAACCAATGCTAACCAATCAAGAATAGATAGCCATCTTTTCCCATCTATGTACACCTGCTGAAAATCATTTTCCAGATCCTATTCTAATTTGCATTGTATATCATATTAAAATTCTTAGTGATCAATTCACCTAAATATCAACATTTAGTATCGCTCATTGTTATCTCCAAGCATTTCACCAGATTGTTCCTTTGGAAGTACTTCTAGTTTACTTGTAGCCCAGATACTTTCTGAAATTTAAAAAATTCTGATTTCAAACTCTGTGATGCCCTAACTGATTGAGTGGTAGTCCTTGCCATGTCAATTGCATATAAACCAAGTTCATATTCTTTTCCTGCCCTGGAATTGTGGCATTCTGATGAAGTTGCCTTGCCAATGGTTTTATCACCAGAGCAAACAAGAGTGGGGAAAGTGGGCAGCCCTGTTCTGTTCCATGCCGAAGAGTAATATACTTCGAATCCATATTATTTATTTTCAACTTGGCCCAATTATCAGAATATATCTGCTTGATTATATGAATACATTTAGTGCCACATCTCATTTTTTTGCATTAAACTAATAAAAAAACCTCATTCCACACAACCATACCCTTGAAATATATCTAAGGAAAAAACTTCCAATTGAGTCTTATTAATTTTATTGCTATGTATAATATTTAACAGTTAGTGGATAGGATCCATAATCTATTGGTGAGGAACAAAACCAGCCTGAGCTACATGTATATAAACACTCACTGTCTGCATCAATCTTTTGGCCATCAGCTGTAAAGATCTTATAATCCACATTCAGTAGTGCAATTGGTCTATGAGATTCAACCATTGTGTAAGATTGGACCAATTTAATAAGATTCAAGTAAAGGGTTTTGGAATAGTTACTATTTCAGAATACTTCCAAGTCTGAGGAATAGGATCTCTATGAAGGATATCATTAAACAGACTGACCATAGGAGGAGTTACTAAATCCCTGAAATGCTTATAAAAAAGGGAAGAGAAACCATCTGGCCATGGTACCTAATTGGATTTGAGCCTCTTTAATACTTGAAGATTCTTCCTCATCTCAACCATAGCATTTAATATTTCCATATCCGAAACAGACAATATTGGGAAAGATGCTGAGTCAAATATTCATCAATATCTGCAAGTAAAGGAGAGGAAGAAGTATATAGATTTGAATAAACACCAACCTGGGAACAACACCAACACCAAGCTGGGAACAATAGAGGGCAAAAGAAGAAGGGGACGGCAGAGGATGAGTGGCTAGATGGAGTCACTGAAGCAGTTGGTGTGAGCTTGAGTGGACTCCAGGGGATGGTGGAGGACAGGCAGGCCTGGAGGAATGTTGTCCATGGGGTCACGATTGGTTGGACACGACTTTGCGACTCACAACAACAACAACAACAAATACCAACCTCCTCACAGACTGGGGACTTGAGTAACTGGAGTCCCCCGTTTTGTCTTGTAAACAAGTGTATCCTGCCCTGTTCTCTCTTTTTCCTTAAATGATTAACGATACGTCTTGTACCCGTCCTCTGCACTCATAAATTTTTTGTTGCAGATAAATTAGATTAATTGAAGTCTTATTTAACTCAAGAACCTTCCATTCTTTCCTCCTTTTTGTCATATAACCTAAACATAGTTTTTAGATCCTGATTGATTATATTTCTTACAATATGCTTCTGCCTCTGCCTGTAATCTTTCCCTTTTGAGGGACAGCTTCTTTTTAGAAGTAGCCTTTCCTTAATACATATGCTCTTATTGCCACCTTCATAACCTCCCATAGGGCCATAGAAGAGGTACTTTCTATATTGCTCTCTGTAAAATAGTTAAGTTAAGCCTGATGGATGGCTTCTGAGGCTGGCTAATTACTCAGTAAAATGTGGAACTAAATGATCATTAACCAAATGATGGGGAGTATGCAACAGGGGCATGATCTGAGACCTGAATAAGTCCAGTATCAGTCTTGCTCACCAACTGCAGCAAAGAAGGGGAGAAAAGTAAATGGTCTATCCTTGACAGTGTTTGATGTCCTGCAGATTGGAGGGTGAAACATTTATCTCTTAAGTTCAAATCCTTTTATGAGCTTCAGATAATCGTTAAAGAATCATACATTGCCCTGTGTGTTGTCAAAGTGCACATGTTGTTCTGTTGTTTTGAAGAACACACTACATACTTGGAAATGTATGGATTTCCAATTGCTAAGAGCATTTGGGTCTGTATTGGAGACTGGGGTCCAATTAAGGACTGGGAAACACAAACTGGGAAAATCTGTGAAACAAAACACTCAAAGTGATATTCTCATACATCTCTTTGCCTAAGTGGCAACTGGTTTTAGGTATTCTTTTGAACAGTCTAGGGATGGATGGACATGATCCTTTTGAGGGGCTCCTTTTCCATCCCCAGGCTTGTTCCACCCCATTTCCATGGGACATTTTTGCACATTGTACATTTTTCCAATGTACTCATTTTTACATGCATGCACCCACCGACTAAAGCATGGTAGTTCATATCTGAAAAATATATGCAGTTTTCTTTGTGCAGGATGCATCATAAGCAATGGACCAATTTCTGAATGCAAGCTGCATTTGTTCACATGTTCCATTCTAGGAATGAAAGTTCAGATAAATCTGTAACACAAAGTTAATTTCGCAACCTTCCCTAAATCACTTAAAGAAAATCCATCTGTCAACATGCATAGTGGAACTCTCCAGAAATGTCACATGTCAGATGATACAGGACGGATCCTGAACACGACATATATGGAACATAAACCCCTCACGCCTAATGCATTTTTCATTTTTTGTTCTTAATGCTTAATTATGGTTTTCCGACATAGGTGATTGCACATTTGCAAATACATAATCATGTTTGACTAGGCAATTAACAGGATCAATACAGAGATTGAATGTAGTTTGTGAGGAAAAATGGAATCCAAGAGTTTTGCCACTTCTAACATTTTAATGAGTGTAAGACTTCCTGCAAGGAGCCATATCTCTTGGGACCTATTACTGCAGGAACTCATTGAGGAAGATTATTTGCTAGGAGAAAAGGAGAAAGTGTGCCCCTAAGTAACAGGTGCTATAGGAGGAAGGAGAAGAAATCATCATTGAGAAGAATGGGAAATGAAGCAGTCTTTCCGGTCCCTTCAGAGCAATGGAGTGATTACTCAGGCAATCCCACTCTGGCTGTGAGTCACAGAACGTGACAAAGCAAGTTAGCTGAAAGCATCCTTCATCAGTACAGCAGGTCACTAACACATTCACCTTAGATCATCAGTGTGATCAAGTTAAAAACACTGAAGTCCTTTTCTGATCTTTTCAATGGATCTTCAGGTTTTAAGTTGTGCAATTACTAGTTCCAAGTGACACACATGTGTTTTAAAAATCAGAGACAAAGCATGATTCCTAGAAAATGGGGCATGATGGCCTGAAGAATGAGATGTGCCTTCCTATAAATTTCTGCATATTTGCATTCCTGAAAATATGCAAATTCATCACCCCCAAATAGACCAATGTCTGAACAATGTATATTTTCACATTATCCCAGAGGTAAAATATGCATTTCTGGTCTTTAAAGCACTATGGTTACATTTGGATAACATAAACATTTCATAGTCGAGAAGTTTGCAGAATCTGTGCAACTAGGAAAAGCCAGGGCACCATAGGTTGGGTTCTTAGAAGTTCAGACTGATCTAACTCCATTGTGGCTTTTTCAACCTCTCTAGAGAGGCAAGAAGGGTGATTTGACTTTCATCTGCCTGAACATATGAAGTTTTGCAACTTAATAGGCAGGGACAGTAGGAATGGGGCTTGTATGCACCTCCTCAGAACTACCATCCTTTAAGCCCTCATGTGAACCTTTCAAATGCCTGCACACGGCTTCTGTAAACCCAGAAAAGAAAGCACTAGCAGATGCTTGAGCACAGCCATGCATCAACCCAAAAACAGATTTCAGCAGGAAAACAATGGGGCTGAACCTTGCCTAGGTATTTGGCTTGCTTTCTCCCATTTTCAAACTAATATTAGTAGGATTGTACCACCTGTCATTTCTTGAGATTTCTCTACTGCTACATAATTTAATCATTTCAGTTGAAGTGTTAGACAGTTAAATGCATTATTAGTTTTAAAAGACATAGTAGCTTGCTCTAAAGTTACAGAACTACAGTTTGTTTTAAACAATACAAAGCAGAAAATTGAAAGGAGTGCTTTTTATGAGTTATGGGCCTGCTGGCTGTGGGTAATGGGAGCTGTAGTTCAACAAATCTAGAGGGCACCAGTGGGGGAAGGCTGCTCTAGATTCATGGCTGAAGAGGCAGAAGGGAAGCAGGTTTCCTTCCAATCTTCATTTGTGCATCATGCTGTGAATATTTACAATACTCTGGTGATGCATTTGATAGCATCTTTAGGAGAAACCCTTGCATACAGAGCAAGAATACATATACCAATGATAATGAATGGTCTTGAAATTAACTAAAAGAACAATAGCTAAGTAACCTGTGTTTTCCATAGTAGGTTAAATAAATTGGTGGCCTTGGTGAAATTAAGGGAGACAATAAGAACAGCACATTGAAACTACCTGATGTGTTTCCTTTGGAAAGAGACTTCAAGAGGCAATTTTTCAAAGTGGTGATTTAGTGATTTATATTAATGGGAGTCTCATGGTTGTGGTACTGAGTGACACTTTCAAAGTGCCCCCCTACTACTGTTCTCACCCAGCTCTCTTCGTGCCCTAATCCAGCTGGTTTCAGCACTGTGTTGAAGATTAAAAACAATTCTAATTTGCAGTATGGATCCTGTTGTGCCTGTGAAATCACATCAGTCTAATCGCTGATACTAATATTTAATTAAAAGAAACCAAATATACCTAGCCCACATTCAAAAGGAGAAAATGCTTACATGCTGGGTAATCCTCTGAATTACTCAATCAGTGGGACAAACTGCTTTTGACTCTTGAGAAGAAAATCAATTTGTGTCAAAAGATACTAAAGGTCAAAAACACAGGCTTCAGTTCTGACCCCACTGAAGGGAACTGCAAACCTCCTGTAGTGTTTAATGAATTAGGAGTGAAACCATGGGGCTTTGTCCTGTAGTTCTACATCAAGCAGAATGACCATTTTATTAAATGGTTCTTTTTTAAAAAAAAATAAACAATCCTGGAAAAAAGAGTAAACTCTGTTTGCTTGTTCATGAAGGAACAAGTCTGACCAGACACTTCAACTCCCTTTTCAAAACAGGCCCACCAGTGTTGTGGGAATGAAGGATGTGCTTTGCCAAGTCTAGGCCAGGCTGATGCTTTTCTCTAAATATACAGATGTGCGGTGGGGGTCTGCATGGCTGACCAGCTACTAAGAACCTAGAGGCTGTGGAAAGTGACACATCTCAACAAGAGCCAGGTTGATGCTCTGCTCCCCAGATACTCTGCAATAGGTTAAAATAAGATGGCAGTCTGGTGGGGCAGAACAGAACCAAGTATCAGCTCAGCTTCCATCCAGAAATGCTGCTAATGCAGCCATTAACCCTCACCCACAAGAAGCATCTCAGGTGGGTAGCAATGCTTTGAAATTGGATCCCGTTTGGAGCTCAGCATTGCTCCAAACTAGCCACCTCCTATGTTTATTTACCCCAGATGTGATGCTTGATGTAGGGAAGTCTGTGCAGAGTGGACCATGAGCTTAACTTCCATCAAGTATGGTCAAGAAATAGCTAATACAATGATGGCTTAAATTACATAAATATTCTTAAAAATTGAGCAGAGCTGTCAAGGACAGGCCATTTTAGTGGATGTTCATTCACTGGGTCACTATAAGCTGGATACAACTTGGCAGCACATAAAAATAGCAAAGTGGATTTTTCTTTTTTGGCATTTGCAAAATTTTGATTTTTAAAAACATGCTTGAAAGAAACTTCTAGAAGTATGTCAGGTCATAATAGAGAGAGCCACTTTGGTGTAGCAGTTAAGAATATAGGTCTGGGGCTCAGGTGATCTGGGTCCCTGTTCAGCCATGGAGCCAGCTGGGTGACTTTGGGCCAGTCACCAACTCTCAGCCCAACCTACCTCACAGGGTTGTTATTGTCGGGGTACGATCGAGAGCAGGAAGAGGAGAATTATGTAAGTTGCTTTCTTTGCAAGAAAAGGGCAAGATATAAATCAAATGAATGAATGAATCTTTGTTTTCTTGCTCTAGTAACAGATGAGTGTCAGTAGCTTGTTTTCACGAAGGAGGCTTTTGGGTATTCACATGTGTGGGAACTCTTCATTGCCAACATAGACCTCAATGAAACAGTTTGTTCAGGTGACCACATCTGTTCTGAGTTCAGCAGCATAACTCGTGCCTTCTCTTTTCATTGGTGCCTTCACCTCCTGGGCAATTTGGTGTACCTCTGCTGTGGCTATCTTGGCCCTGGAAATTCTGCTGCATTTCATGCTTGAGTGTGTGAAGCAGCAGGAATGGCCACTTCCATGTAACATTGCACCTGAAATGCACAATGGAAACCCAGGTCTGATTAGAAGCACTGCTGTCAGCAGCTGGGGAAACTCATCTCATCTTGTCTGGTTGGCCTTTGTGGAGTAATGAGTCAGTGATGGTGACAGATGG